GAACGCCGCTCCAGCTCTTCAAATATTGCAGTACCCATAAGGAGCCGTACACATGCCGCAGTGTTTGCGTGGCTGTGTCTTTAGTTGTAAGCACAGTGGCAATCTGTTGTTATTAGCATCTGGTTAGCTAGCTATGCTAACGAATCTGTTGTTATTAGATTCTGGTTAGCTAGCTATGCTAACAAATTTAAAGAGCAACCAGGTGGAAGAGAGCTCTCTCCTGAGAGGCTCAAATAACCTCAGCTCAGTGAGGTTAAGGCACACCTTGATATGATCATTATAGTTATTAATGAGACATTAGAGACTAAATGAAAAACAGGTATAAAATACTATATGACAGTAACAAAAAAGTTGTTAAAAATAACAAGAATAGAGTTTAAAAGGGGAGTGATTTGTAAAATATCCAAAAAGAAAGATCTGCTTACAGTTCTGTTTCATAGGGGTGTTGAGAGATGTATCCATAGATCTCCTCATGTTGCTCTCAAAGTGCACCAGATTGATGCTTTTAACTTCAATATTAAAAAAAAAAAAGAAATCTTCCCGGGGGAGCATACCTCCGGACCCCCCGAGAGGAGGTTAGGTCCCCCCCACTTAGATCATGTTCACATGGATAGGATACTAAATATATTGGCGCACATCTTGTGTCCATATGCATGCGTCAAACATGAGTCATGGTGAGATCTCTGAATTCAGAGGTTGCTTTTTCTTTGCACAGCATGAAAGAAAGGCCAAATGAATGGGCTGTGATTTTAGTTTTTTTAAGCAGAGGTTGAGTTCAATAATTTGTACGGCCCTCGGAGGATGTTGTAAAAATTGAAAGGAAAAAGGTTCCCCACCCCTGCTGTAAATAATAATAAAAACCCTTGATTTATAATTTAACATCTCTGTCTCTATTAATCTGAGTATATTATAAAGAATAGCCAGTTAATTGAAGCATTATAAGCACAGGCCTGTCAGATGGTATGTTACGCAGTTTTTTTCCTGCTTCGAATAGTTCTCTCTTTTTTCACCATACCTGTGTTTGCATCACTGATATATATTAACAGCTCATGTTTAGTTATTGTTCTTAGAAAGANCATGCCGCAGTGTTTGCGTGGCTGTGTCTTTAGTTGTAAGCACAGTGGCAATCTGTTGTTATTAGCATCTGGTTAGCTAGCTATGCTAGTGAATCTGTTGTTATTAGATTCTGGTTAGCTAGCTATGCTAACAAATTTAAAGAGCTTTTCTACAACCAGGTGGAAGAGAGCTCTCTCCTTACAGGCTCAAATAACCTCAGCTGAGTGAGGTTAAGGCACACCTTGATATGATCATTATAGTTATGAATGAGACATTAGAGACTAAATGAAAAACAGGTATAAAATACAATATGACAGTAACAAAAAAGTTGTTAAAAATAACAAGAATAGAGTTTAAAAGGGGAGTGATTTGTAAAATATCCAAAAAGAAAAATCTGCTTACAGTTCTGTTTCAAATGGGTGTTGAAAGATGTACCCATAGGTCTCCTCATGTTGCTCTCAAAGTGCACCAGATTGATGCTTTTAACTTCAATATTTAAAAAAAAATCTTCCCGGACCCTCCTAGAGAAGGTTAGGTCCCCCCCACTTAAATCATGTTCACATGGATACTAAATACATTTGCACACATCTTGTGTCCATATCTTTCTGTTTTGGTGGTCATGCCACACCGTGCACATGCATGCATGCATATCTTACCATGCGCGAGTCATGGTAAGATATCTGGATTAAAAGGTTGCTTTTTCCTTTGCACAGCATGAAAGAAAGGCCAAATGAATGGGCTGTGATTTTAGTTTTTTTAAGCAGAGGTTGAGTTCAATAATTTGTACGGCCCTCGGAGGATGTTGTAAAAATTGAAAGGAAAAAGGTTCCCCACCCCTGCTGTAAATAATAATAAATACCCTTGATTTATAACTTAACATCTCCGTCTCCTATTGATCTGAGTATATTATAAAGAATAGCCAGTTAATTGAAGCATTATAAGCACAGGCCTGTCAGATGGTATGTTACGCAGTTTTTTTCCTGCTTCGAATAGTTCTCTCTTTTTTCACCATACCTGTGTTTGCATCACTGACATATACTCCCTTATTCTGTATTTGCAGGGTCAATGAACTCCAAGACCCTACCTATCAGTATAAAGTGGACATAGTGAACTTTCAGGTGAGACTCTTTTTTTAAATGGTTAAGGTTGTGGTACAGGTTTTTGGACCGGGCTGTTATATTTGATACAGCCAGGGGAAAATTCACAAAGAATGGACTGCGACTGCTGATAGCACCCGCATCAGTACCCACTATCTGCTCCATATAAAGCTCTGTTTTCAATATTCTCATGTGTTTTCATAAAAGACATGTAGGGAATCTTTATACATTTATTTCTCTCTTTCCCAAAATGTATTAATTTGAAAACAAGTATTACGATGTCATTGTCTGGCCTCAATCGGCTTCCATAATCACTGGAGAGTGTGGATGGGACTAACCTAATAAACGCACAATGAAGACCCTATTAATTTCACTGTAACTGTGTGGCTGTTAGCGCTGATCTTTGTGGATTGGACTGTTGGGCTAATTTGCCAGAAATGGGACAATTTAACACTGAATGTAAATCGGTTCAAATAGCACAGGAGCATCGATACACTATCTGCTAGGCATTGCAGTTCGGGGTGTATTTCCCTCTTAGCGGCTACTTTTCAGATAATTGTTTTTCTTATGTGTGGTTAGGTTTAGCGCCTGGAAAAGCCTTGCATTGCTTTTTGTGAATTCACCCCTCAATGTTTATGTCTTATTTTTCCCATCAGTTTAATAAAGACCCAATATATTTCTGCAGGGTATGAAGGTCTTCTTCCTGATTGTAGTTGCCTTCTACATTCTTTACCTGATCTTCCTGGTCGTCAGAGCTTGTTCTGAACTGAAGAACATGCCTTACTCAGGTATCACAGCACAACACACATCTGACTTAATCACAGTTATTGCTTTACCATGGTAACATTAACGTGCTGTGTGTTTTCTATCACTAGATCTCCGGCTCCGGTTTTTGACAGTGCTGACCTTTGTGGTCCTTGTTATAAGGTACGTTTTTAAGTAAATCCTAAGAGGCCTGTTTAAAAGCCTATTTGTGGTTGATTTGGTTTTAAATGACGCTGTTTCTCTTTGTCCTCCAGCATGGTCATTCTCTACCTGAGGTTTGGTGCCAAGGCTCTCCAAAACAATTTTGTCGCTGCACTGTCTACTCATTACCAGAACTATATCCTTTCCAAAAGTATTTTATTTTTAGACAATGATTTCACTTCAATATTCAATGTGAGACACCATGTTGATTATTTTAAAAGTGATAAATGGTTCCTTAACTCCAGACATACCAGCTGAATTTTTATCATTCTATGGTCTACTCAACTTTTACTTGTACACATTGGCTTTTGTGTATTCCCCCTCCAAAAATGCACTTTATGGTTGGTAACACAGCACAATTTAAAACAAACTGGATACGATAATGAATTAAAGTATGAACCGAACTGATTTTGTTTATTTTCCAGACTCCCAGTTGAAGGATAACCCTGCTTTCTCAATGCTAAATGACTCTGATGATGAAGTTATATATGGGTAAGCATTTGCTTGATTGCTTATTAAATTCTCACCCCCTATAGTTTGGGGGGAAGCATTTGTCGGGAACGTGTATAAACCAGCAGATGTTTTATTTTTCTTCTGTAAAGAAGCGATTATGAAGACATGCCTTTACAAAACGGACGTGCCATCAAAGCAACCGCCAAGTACCAGGATGAGACTGACAGCGACTGATGGGACCCCTGACTGCCATGTTGCTCCTCTTTTGTGTCCCCGTTGGAAAATATAGGAATAGAAAACAACAAAATATCATGTGTAGGTGTAAATAAGGAGTACTTGCATTGGTGATACAGAATAGTATATTGTAAGTGTACATAACTATATTTTTAAAAGAAGTTCCATGTCTACTGAATGTACTGTACTTTTACTTTAAGTTAGGGTAGGTAGCCACTTTTTCCAGTTTGTAAACTCTTTTCCTCCTACCTAGCAGCATTTCTTCACAAGCCGATAGTCGGATATAATCGGGAAAAGTGCTAATATCGATTGGGGATCTTTTTCGGAGAAATCAATGTTATTTTAACGCTTTGTGTTGAACCACTGTTGTCTCCTTATTGCACTGTGTGGTTTTTGCCATTCCTTTCAGCTCTCTGACAATAATGATAATGCATTTTTATGGCCAAAGTGGAGTAAACTTATACTGCTGGTAGAAAGCAAAATAAACGTGTTCCACAGCAGCAGACTCAAACACAACATCAGTGATTTGACGGGGAATAAAAAAGTGCCAAAGCAGTGTTGGCTGTTAACAATCTTTTTTTTTATTCCAACATATTGGAAGAGAGAGCCTTATCGCTGGAGTACGCACTACTTCATTTTTAACACTCTTCCGACTAATTCATGAGAAGCAGCTTTGTAATTGCACTTGGGTAAGAATTTAATTTATTTGCTGAAAAGTTAGGACATTTGATACTGTATAATCTGACTCCCTGGATGAATGGTGTTTGATGAATTGTGTGGATTTTACACCACTTTATGTAAATGGGCTACTGATTTACCATGAACATTTCTTATCTCAGCATGTACAGTAGTTACAGTATTGGCCAAATATATTTTGCGTAATGTGGAACATATTCATTTAAGTAATGTTTTTGTTCCGTAGCTTTCCTAACATTGCTTAGTTTTATATACTTTAAAACTAATCTCTCAATATGTATTCTAATCAAGATGGTGCCTTGTCTTTACATTTCTTCAAAAATGTTCTGCAGTCTTGAATTTGTAAATGCTTTGACATAAATGTACATTTTGATTCAAGGTGATTAAGTGATATTGTGGGACCTGATATTTTGGATGTTTTTGCAATTTGGGTTGCTTCATGAGATAAAAGCTGTACATGTAGCAATTTCATGTCACATGTAAATAAAGCGAAGTATATACAGCACAGTATTCTTTTAATTAATTGCACTTATATAAAAACACAAGATGTCATTCAAATATTGCCAGCATGTCTGAACATAACAGGCTGGTTCTGAAAAATATACAAAAGCCCAAACATTTCAAACACACAGGTCCAGCATTGTAGTTGGTTCAGATGGCCAGCCCAAAAACACTGACTATGCAGTACATGGACTTGTTCTCCCATCTCACCGCACAGCTTCCTGTTGGGTGTAATGCACAACAAACTTAGTATGACCTTTACAGTTACTGAAAAAATACAGCTTTTGAAAGTTGATCATTTGCAGAAAAGGAAACAAACATTTAAAGCAACATCACTATTGTATTTTACCATCAGTAGAGTTGTCCCAGAAGCATGTGCTCGCTGTTTGCAGACCTGCTCCATTTTTCTGCATGATGATACAGGTAACTGTGGGAAAACAATACATTATTTTTCAGTACCAACCCCATACAGCCAAGGAACCATTATAATATATTTGTTTTACTGCTGCAGCGTATGTACCAATATATTTGAAAGGCTTCCCCAGCTTGCTGAGTTGACTGAGGCACTGCTCCACTACGCTGGTGGTCCACTGGTTTACTCGGCTGTGCTGGTAGGCATTTGCTCCTATGGTGGCTTCCACTGACTACAGAGACAATTTAAACATCATAGTATTAATTAGGAACTGACCAACCCAGTGGTGGGAAATTATTAGGTTCATTTCCTCCTATTTGACTGTACAGCACTTTGGTCTGGAGGTTTTAAAGTGCTTTATAAATAAAGCTGTATTGTATTTATTTACTGCTACTTTACCCTTTTAATCTACTACAAATCAGAGGGAAAATATTGTATTTTTTACTACATTTATTTGATAACTTGCGGTATATATAAATGGTCTATATAGGTTATACCATTGCAATAATACTGAAATACGACACAGTTTTATGAACAAAATGCATAAATACAACTTATTCAGAATATTGAAATACATTAAACTGCAAATTACACTAGATAATGACGTTGCATAGCAACCGTTACTGTTTCCTTGGCAACCAACAGTTTGCTTAACACAAGGTAGAAATGTTAACGTTAACCGAAACAATCTATATTTTGTGGATGAATCAAAAGCCAGTGTGTCTTTTTGCTTACCTCTTTTATTATTTTGCTCACTTCATCAACGACGAACGCAGTCTGTCGAGTTAAAAACAAAACAGTTCAGTTTAAGCTAGCCTGTCAACATGGCTGTCTTCTACTTTCTGGACAAACAATTAACAATATAAGTTACAACGTAAGACACCCTTCAAAGAATGTTAAGGTAGATGAAATAGTGTTTTCTATTTGATTAATATATATGTAATTACTAGTCAAGTTATTACGAACCCACCTCCTCTTCTGTCTGATCCTCGTCCATTGCTACTGCCTCCGAAATGAACCAAGTTTTCTTTAGTAATATGACTTCCGGTCGTGTTCTTTTCAGAATAAGAGCATCGACTGAAGCCCATAAGTGATTTGTGTTAATGGGAAACAGTGATGGAAGAAGTATTCAGCATCTTTACTTGAGTCAAAAAGTAGCAATACATTTATCTAAAAAAATCTTAATTTCAAATTAAAGTCCTGCAAATACCAAGTAAATAAGTACAGAAGTATTATCAGCAAAGTGTACTGAAACTAAGTACAACAAGTAAATGTAATTCTGCAGAAAGTTGAACACGAAGGATGTGTGACAACATTACATTTCAACATTGTCGTGGATAAAACTTATCAAATGACTAAATGGCCGTAAAACTATGTATAGTCTAGCACTGATCGTTGGATAAATGGTCAGTCTACTTAATGTCCAATCTAATAAACATTGCCCTCTTCAAGTGACCAGAGTTTCTCCAATCAATGAGAATTCATGAAACAACAGTCTTTTGTAAAACTGAGAGAAACACACAATTTGCTTTTAAATGTTTGGTATTTGAACAATATAAATGACTTTTCCGGCCCCATCAAAGCACTAAACCGTAACTTTTTTATTAGTAATTGCTGCAGCCCCACTGAAGCCCAAAACACGTCTCATTAAAAAAAAATAGGTGATTTTAAGTTTTATTTGAATCACCAGTAAATATTAAAAGCGTGCCGTTGATAAACAAAACCTTTGTACGTGCATTCAAAAATATCCTTAATCAGGTAAACACCGCCCCTTCTGGTCAGTTTTAGAAATAGTTGTCACATGACATTGACATGACGCAGTTTATAACTTTCCACTTTTTAGCCGTCGTTCGACGGTCTTTCGCTGTCGAGAGGACCAGTTCAGGTAGGAAAATGCTAAAACTAACCAGGTTTTTTTTGCATAGCGTATATAAACATCAATCCTCGCAATCGCTCTGTATTATATTTAATGTTGAAGATAATCTTAAAGTGTTTTCTGTTGAGTTATGCTGTATTGCTAAAGCGAGCTAAGTGCTAGCTTCACGAGGCCACCTGATGTGCTAGCTGAAGCAGCAACTGGCTAAATGGGCCGGAGATGTGATGGTGTGAGAAATATATGCATTTGTATGCTACTTTTGCGTCAATTTATCTTGTTCTGTTTTTTTAAAGATGTAATGCCATTAATTAGCGAACACACCTTGCTAATTAAATCTGAAAGGATCGCTAAACTATACAGTTAAGGCTGTCTCCGTGACCTTGGCCCAAAGAAGCTAATGTCACGGTAACTAGCTTATATTTACATACCATAATTACCACGCTATTGCAGCGAAATAATGAGAGTCGATGTTAATATTAATTGCAACGTAATTTATTTCAGAAACACTTTTTGTTATATTCCATGGAATGCTCTTAACATCCCGATAGCAATGAATATATTAAATGCTTTGACAATAAATGCAAAAAACAATTTCGTCTGTGGAAGCCGTAGTACTGTGCACCAATATCACCTAGACAAGCCCTGACCAATCATTTTAGCCGGCCAGGCTAAAATAACTGGATGGCCTGTTAGCCTTCCATCTGTGCACATATTTATCTCGTGCCCTCATAGGTCATGTGCGCGTTCGTGTCTGTTGGAGGAGGGGCTGTGTAAGCAAGTGGCAGATTTTTTCGGTTGTGTATTTTCAAATTCTAGCGCACTCGAGCTGGTTTCTCCAAATTACCTACCCCACCTTTAAGTGTTGCTTAAACGGGTTGGTATTAAATGTCTAATCAACTTTCTCAGTTTGAAATACAGTTTTCAAAAAAAGGTGAACTAATTTACAGTTTTTCCTTCTGCTTTGAAATTGACTCTTATTTTGACGTTTATTTTGAACCGACCAACCGGATGTTGTGCACGTTTTGCTGAGCGCTTGTATCACGGTGTCCGTGTCATGAGTTTTACAATATCCATGGTGTAATTGCACTGTTTCTGTGATATTTAAACGGGTTTAGCTTTAGCACATTTTCTCAGATAATTATTGTGGCACATTTGCCGGTATTTGCCGGTATTGGAATATGTTCTGATTGCAATGCGAAGTTACCTACAGTTTTGTAGTTCAGTCTCAAGAGGGAGACAGACCTCTATGTATCTTTGTGGCACTACATCTCAAAGGTTTTAATTCTGCTCCTTGTCATACCACGCACACGACCCCGTCTTTATAAATAGTTATTCTTAGTTTTAAACTTATATTTTTGACAGAATAAAGAAACGCTTGTACATATATTAAAGATATAGAAAGCATTTTAAGGTACTCTTTGTTAGGGATGCCTTATTGGTCAAAAGGGCATCACGTGACCAGATATAGCATAAACTGGCTTAACTACCGTAACGTTCTTCAACAAAAGTAGGCGATCGTATGCATGTATTGGTGGGGAATCTTACTATGACTTAGAAACGCGCGTTTTTCTTTAGTTGCTGTGTTTTTGTAATTATAAAAAAACAAGTTGAACCGTTTCTGAAAGTAACAGTGCAGAGAATCAGACCTTTCCTGCTGGCCCATTTGCAGTATCGCTTCTCGGCCTTTTGGCTAAGATCAAGTGTAGTATCTGTTCTTATCAGTTTAATATCTGATACGTCCCCTACCCGGGGACCATATATTAAATTGATTTTTGGAATAGGGAGATGGAATAGGGGCTTGCTCCGTCCACTCCACGCATCGACCTGGTATTGCAGTACCTCCAGGAACGGTGCACCCCCTCTAAATGTCTAATATAAAAACTCTTATATTAACTATTCTGTCCAACCGACATGACTCACTAAATGTTATGTCGGTACATAACATTTCCTGAATAATAACACTATTTGATTTAATCTGTTAGTTTTTATTTTATTTTGTTCTGCTTATTCTGAAAAAAAGAAAATGTTGCTAAAATGGTTTCAAAGCCTGAGAAACACTGTGTATTTGACTGTATTTAAGACATTTATTTATGTATTAATTCTGTAGTGTTAGCCGTAGAAGCCAATCTTATTACATTTGTTAATTTAAGGTAAAAAAATCTAATGCAGTCAAATACATTTGTCCTGTAATAGCTACGTGTTTTAAGGTACTTTGGTAGTGATGGCTAATTGTCCTGAAGGACATCATGTGACTAGAAATAACTTAAACTGGCTTCACTATCATAACATTTTCTAACAAAAGTGTCCTGTTGATACATGTATTGGTGGTGAATCTTCCTATAACATAAAAACGTGCATTTTCCTTTTGTTTTGTTTTTTTAATTAAAATAAACATGTTGAACCGTCACTTAAAGTAACAGTGCAGAGAATCACACCTTTCCTGCTGGCCCATTTGCAGTATCGCTTCTCGGCCTTTTGGCTAAGATCAAGTGTAGTATCTGTTCTTATCAGTTTAATATCTGATACGTCCCCTACCCGGGGACCATATATTAAATTGATTTTTGGAATAGGGAGATGGAATAGGGGCTTGCTCCGTCCACTCCACGCATCGACCTGGTATTGCAGTACCTCCAGGAACGGTGCACCCCCTCTAAATGTTAAACATAAAAACACTTCTGATAAGTCTCCTTTCCAACTGACATGACTCACTAAATGTTATGTCGGAATTGAAGCTAATGTTCAATATGATCACAAGTATCACATACATGCTTTTGTGACACAAGGGCATTGTAAAACTTACTTACTTCATTTCTCTCTCATTGGTTGAAAACATAATTTATAGCAATTTCTGAATAATGACACATTTGGTTAAATCTGTTGGTTTTTCTTTTCTCTGTTTTTTTCATTCCCTAAAAGTCAAAACATGTTGCAAATGTGGTTTCCCAACTTGAGAAACACTGTATTTTACCCACTTTCAATGTGACTGTATTTTAGATATTTATGTATTAATTCTGTAGTGTTAGCCGAATAGCCGTAGAAGCCAATCTTATTAAATAATTAATATAAGGTACAAAAAATGTAATGCAGTCAAATACAATTGTCCTGTATCAGCTACGTGTTTTAAGTTAATTTGGGAGTAATGGCTAATTGGCTAGAAGGACATCATGTGACTAGAAATAACATAAACTGGCCTCACTTTCCAACAAAAATGTCCAGTTGATGCATTTGTTGGTGCTGAATGTTACTATACATGAAAAAGTGTGTTTCCATTTGTTGCTGTGTTTAAAAAAAAAAAAAAAGTTATACCGTCGCTGAAAGAAACAGTGCAGAGAATCACACATTTCCTGCTGGCCCATCTCCATATCGCTTCTCGGCCTTTTGGCTAAGATCAAGTGTAGTATCTGTTCTTATCAGTTTAATATCTGATACGTCCCCTACCCGGGGACCATATATTAAATTGATTTTTGGAATAGGGAGATGGAATAGGGGCTTGCTCCGTCCACTCCACGCATCGACCTGGTATTGCAGTACCTCCAGGAACGGTGCACCCTGACATGACTCACTCTGACGACGTGCCAAGGCACCACACGGGGATAAGGGT